TTCCCGGACACGTCTGTGAACAGTGACTTTTGATACCTGGACTCCAGCTTCAGTCCACTGTCTTTGAAGCTCCCCCAAATTCTGGAAGCGACTCTTCTTCACAATGCTGTTAAGGCTGCGGTCATCTCTCTTGGTTGTGCAGCGTTTCCTGCCACATTTCCCCCTTCCAACAGACTTTTTGTGGATGTGCTTTGAAACTGCACTCTGTGAACAGCTTGCTCTTTGAGAAATTTCTTTTTGTGTCTTACCCTCCTGATGGAGGGTGTCAATGACGGTCCTCTGGACAGCAGTCAGATCAGCAGTCTTCCCCATACTTGTGATTTAGTTTACTGAACCAAGCTGAGTGTTTTTCAAGGCTCAGGAAACCCTTGCAGGTGTTTCGAGTTAATTAGACGATTCAAGTGATTCGTTGAACACCCTACTAGTATACTTTTTCATGATATTCTAATATTTAGAGATAGGATATTTGAGTTTTCTTAAGCTGTATGCCATAATCAGCAATATTAAAATAATAAAAGGCTTGCAATATTTCAGTTGATTTGTAATGAATCCAGAATGTATGACATTTTTGTTTTTTTAATTGCATTACAGAAAATAAAGAACTTTATCACAATATTCTAATTTTCTGAGACAGTCCTGTATATATAGACATCTAAATTTTCTGTGCTCCACCACTTTTGTACATATAGAAACGCCACTGTGAATTACTAAATCAATCCATAAAAGACTAAATTAATAAATAATTATAATAAAAATATAATAAGAATCAGAGCATCAATTCAAGCTTTTTACACTTACCCTTCAGGTTCAGGTGTTTTATTTGTACACGTAGGTAGATTTTGTTAGTTGTTAAAAGACTGGCATCCATTGTGACACATTTTAGAAAACAACTCAAACAGGCAAGTCTTAATAATAAAAAAAATCTTTACCCTATGCTTTCAATTTAACATTTATTCTGAAAAGTAACTGCAGTTTCTAGTATTAAAGTACAAGGGAAATTAAGCATTAAATAAAATGGCTCGAGTGACGTACAAGTAGGTTAAAATTGTACTTGAGCAAAATATATACGTTCTTCCTGCCTTTTATGAATGTGCTATGAATATGATGGTTCTTACCTTCTTAAGTGTGCAGTTAGTTTTGGGATCCGTCTAATACCATTTAATCTCAGTGTCAGTCTGCTGGTGTCTCATATTGCATGCAGCTTGTTTGAAATGCACCCTTTCATCTCAGTTTTTTGTTTTTGTTTCAGGTGCACCTCGTCACCTGCTCGGCTTTCCTCAGCTCAGCCAACAAGTTTGAATTTCTGGACATGGGCTACGTGAGTGCAGACACATAAACTATGTATGGATATGTGTAGCATTTCATGATCATTTTGATCAAATATGAATATAGAGTGGCAGTGATGCAATACAAGACATATGTTGGCAAGAAAGAGAAGCGGGAGAGGTAGGAGTGAATACCAAAGAAAAGGAATAAAAAGGTTCATGTTTGTCACATTATCAGTGTTTCTGAAACCCTTACAAAGAGCTTAATATTTATACTAAGGACACTTTCTTGGCAAAAGACACACTGCTGTATGAGCTGGCATTGCTCTTAAATGGAGGCTGTCCATAATGTCCGGATGTTCTTGCTTACACAGCAACTCATGGAGAGGCTGAAGCGGATTGTAAAGCTCCCTCATCGACTGAGACCGGTGCAGAGCAGCAAAGTGAGTACCGAGCTGCCCTAACGCACAGATGGAAAAGGTTACGTTTAGAATGTGCTCCGCTGCAGTGTGCTGATTAGTTGTTGCACTTGTTCCCAATGCACTTTCATCTTTTTTTCTCCTCCGTGGCCCTAAAGCACAGAACACATTTTTTTCTTATAAGAAAATTGAGTTTCAGTGCCTTCTAAGAATATTATTATTAGAATATTATTATATCATTGATATACACTAGAGTGATATCAGTATGCACCGATATGCACTTTAGATGGTAATTACATTTCATCCGCTTGTGCCTGCACTCGGCACAAGGACAATAACGTTCAATTATTATTTGTCCTAATCTAATGGAAGCTTTAATCATTTAAATATTTATTTATCTAGGGACACATACAGTGGGGCAAAAAAGTATTTTTAGTCAGCCACCAATTGTGCAAGTTCTCCCACTTAAAAAGATGAGAGAGGCCTGTAATTTTCATCCTAGGTATACCTCAACTATGAGAGACAAAATGAGAAAAAAAATCCCAGAAAATCACATTGTCTGATTTTTAAAGACTTTATTTGCAAATTATGGTGGAAAATAAGTATTTGGTCAATAACAAAAGTTCATCTCAATACTTTGTTATATACCCTTTGTTGGCAATGACAGAGGTCAAACGTTTTCTGTAAGTCTTCACAAGGTTTTCACACACTGTTGCTGGTATTTTGGCCCATTCCTCCATGCAGATCTCCTCTAGAGCAGTGATGTTTTGGGGCTGTCGCTGGGCAACAAAGACTTTCAACTCCCTCCAAAGATTTTCTATGGGGTTGAGATCTGGAGACTGGCTAGGCCACTCCAGGACCTTGAAATGCTTCTTACGAAGCCACTNTGTTATATACCCTTTGTTGGCAATGACAGAGGTCAAACGTTTTCTGTAAGTCTTCACAAGGTTTTCACACACTGTTGCTGGTATTTTGGCCCATTCCTCCATGCAGATCTCCTCTAGAGCAGTGATGTTTTGGGGCTGTCGCTGGGCAACAAAGACTTTCAACTCCCTCCAAAGATTTTCTATGGGGTTGAGATCTGGAGACTGGCTAGGCCACTCCAGGACCTTGAAATGCTTCTTACGAAGCCACTACTTCGTTGCGCGGGTGGTGTGTTTGGGATCATTGTCATGCTGAAAGACCCAGCCACGTTTAATCTTCAATGCCCTTGCTGATGGACGTAGGTTGTCACTCAAAATCTCACGATACATGGCCCCATTCATTCCTTCCTTTACACGGATCAGTCGTCCTGGTCCCTTTGCAGAAAAACAGCCCCAAAGCATGATGTTTCCACCCCCATGTTTCACAGTAGGTATGGTGTTCTTTGGATGCAACTCAGCATTCTTTCTCCTCCAAACACGTCTAGTTGAGTTTTTACCAAAAAGTTCTATTTTGGTTTCATCTGACCATATGACATTCTCCCAATCCTCTTCTGGATCATCTAAATGCTCTCTAGAAAACTTCAGACGGGCCTGGACATGTACTGGCTTAAGCAGGGGGACACGTCTGGCACTGCAGGATTTGAGTCCCTGGCGGCGTAGTGTGTTACTGATAGTAGCCTTTATTACTTTGGTCCCAGCTCTCTGCAGGTCATTGACTAGGTCCCCCCGTGTGGTTCTGGGATTTTTGCTCACCGTTCTTGTGATCATTTTGACCCCACGGGGTGAGATCTTGCGTGGAGCCCCAGATCAAGGGAGATTATTAGTGGTCTTGTATGTCTTCCATTTTCTAATAATTGCTCCCACAGTTGATTTCTTCACACCAAGCTGCTTACCTATTGCAGATTCAGTCTTCCCAGCCTGGTGCAGGTCTACAATTTTGTTTCTGGTGTCCTTTGACAGCTCTTTGGTCTTGGCCATAGTGGAGTTTGGAGTGTGACTGTTTGAAGTTGTGGACAGGTGTCTTTTATACTGATAACAAGTTCAAACAGGTGCCATTAATACAGTTAACAAGTGGAGAACAGAGGAGGCTCTTAAAGAAGAAGTTACAGGTCTGTGAGAGCCAGAAATCTTGTTTGTTTGTAGGTGACCAAATACTTATTTTCCACCATAATTTGCAAATACATTCTTTAAAAATCAGACAATGTGATTTTCTGGATACCTAGGATGAAAATGACAGGCCTCTCTCATCTTTTTAAGTGGGAGAACTTGCACAATTGGTGGCTGACTAAATACTTTTTTGCCCCACTGTATGCCCAGATTTAGCCAATAGGCTCATGTTCATCTACAGTTAAACCCAATATAGAATATACACATACAACGGCAGATGCATCAGAACTTTACCATAACTAAACATCTCTAATGACCACAACATTTTTAAAGAAAAATTCAGTTTTCAATTATTAAGTATAATTTCTGGATGTTTCATGTGTATATGGTTCATAATGTTAAAGGGGCCCTATAATGCTCTTTGGGCTTTTCCCTTGCCTGTATTGTGTGATATAGGTTTGTATGCAAGTAAATGGTGTGCAAAGGGTTAGGGTTAGGGTAGGATCTGCAAAGGCTAGAATCCCAAAGTTCCCCCAGATGGAGTTTCTCTCCCACACAGTCCACAAGTGTAACATATTGATGTCATTATTTTACGGCAGTAAAAAAGGATTTTAAGGCACTGGGGCTGCCTGAAACGCGCCCATTGGACATGAGTTTACTTCCATAATATAGTGACATTACTCTGTAACACTGGGGCTCATATTTGCTAGTGCTCCAACACATTGTACGTGATGGGCTAAGTGGCGGGACATCTCTAAGTGGTTAGCCAATCACAACAGAGCCAGACAGCTAACCAGTCAGAGCAGACTGGGCTCTGGTTTCAGACAGAGGGTGAAAAGAGGTGCTGCAGCACAGGCAGTATGAGAAAAGAAATATAGACCTTTTTGAAACATTGAAGCATGAAGACATATCACAGTAGAGACACAGATAAGCACATCATATTATACGGTAATGGGCATGATAGTGTCCTTTTCTTTTTGATAATGATGCGAGATTCATTATCTTGACCAATATTTTGTAGGGCTGTCTGCAAGAATAGTCATTTTTCTGCCAACTCTGGATTGTAATTGTCTTTTATTCCGGCCTTCTTTTATTTGAGTTGTTTTACTCATTTACTTTTGGCCCAGTTAGGAGTGTTTTGCTTTCAGTTTTTCATTGAAACCTAAAGAATAATATGGCAGAAAAGAAGTTCCCTTGTCCCACACCTCTAAGTGACTTTATATATGTGTCCCTTAGATCAACACAGACTACAGGATTGAGTTTGCCCGCTGCCTGGAGCCCTTATTGCTGCTGGGTCAGCGCTGCCCTCCCTCTGTTTCCGGATCTATAAGTGTCGCAGCAAGGTGAGATCATGTACCTGCTGCCACATACCATTTAAATGTAATCCCTAAAAAAAACTCTGAGGTTTTGCTTTACAACGTGCTTACACTGCCTGAATTTGACCGTGGCATTGTTTGGATTTTTCCAAGAAAGCATAAAGTCTGGGCAGAAAATGTCACACTTGTGAAGAATGCAAACAGAAAATCTGTGATTGGTTTGCTCGTACAGATGGTAGACAGTGATGACTGCAGTGACAGGAGAGGAGGCGCCATGCTGAGTCTCACTATGGCAGTTATTCTATCCATCAGTAAGCTCTGTGCACTGATATGTTTATGCAACTCACCTTGTTGCATAGTTGGGAAGGCGGCAGTACATCCTGATTTAGAAAGAGACCGTTTTGCTGCAGCCAGGCCACAAGCACAGCAGATAACACGATAAGGTGGAAGAAAGTCATGTGGTGCAGTACCTGGAAGGAGATTTTTTCATTTGTTGATGTTTTTGAAGCAGTGGGTGAAGAAGTACTCAGATTTCTATCTTAAAGGGACCCTTTATTACTTTCCTGTGGTGTGTTATATACACTGTTTTTGGCGCGAGTAAATGGTCTGCAAATGTTTCTCTGCCACACACTCCAGCCCTGCCATTGGACTCCTTTGGTTTCTTCCGAGACATAATGACATCACTACGTAACACTAGTGCTTCTATATTTTTATTCTAACCAATCAGAGCAGACTGGTGCTGCAGTACAGGCAGTATGAGAAAAATAAAGAGCTTTTTGAACATTAAAGCATGGAAACGTGTCACAGTCGAGGCACAAAATAAAATGATGAAACCTGAAAATGTGCAGAATAGGGCCTCTTTAAAGGGAGGGAATCCTCATGACACGCATTTTTAAATAATTATCATCCGATAAAACAGACCAGTCTCTGCCAGTCTTTTTTCTTTTTTTTTTAATCCGATGACGTTATCAGTGATTTTAAGCTGATTAATTACCGAAATAACATCAACCCTGTGGGCGGCGCCATTTTGACGAGTCACATGACTTATTTTACCGGAAGTGACGTGAACTATGCGTTTGGTGTCGAGGACAAATTGACGTATGTGCTTTGTTCATGTTGTTTACTCTAGTTACTCTCACAATTCTATTGAAATATGCCTCATTGTATTGCAAAACATTGCCACAATTCGGATAGGAACAATCCACGGAATGCTCCGTGTGCACGTGCACGTGTGCTCCGTGAATGCTCAGGAATGCTTTCTTTATTTGATTGATTAACTACTATGGAATTTATTCAACTACATTGTACCATTATTATGTTAGGCAGGGCTGCCAACACTCACGCATTGAGCTTGAGAGTTACGCAATTAACCCATATCTCACGCATCACTTGCCTTTCCTCACGCTAAGTTTTCGTACAAAACAAATGTGTATAAATATAAAAATAAAGTGAAGGAACAGCAAACCGAGTGTTCTACGAAATGAGACGGTCTTCTGGCTTAGTTCAGTAAAGTTGGAACGATATTGGAAGATTCTGATTTCACGGATCAATAACTCATGAAAACGTTATTCAGACACAAATGACGTCTCCTAAGTACCGTGGTAAGGTTGACAACAAACTACAATCACATTTTGATTAAGAAAAAGCCAATACGCGCCGTCCTCCGAGCTGGGCACATTACATTGGTGTCTATCCGCAGCCGGAGAAGAAACGAGTGCTCTGCTCAGGGACCGTCTTTAAAGTGCAACTCCGAAAAAAGAGAATACAATAATATTCAATCACTATTATACAGCTTATTACTACCAAACTCACCACACACATCAATAGTCTCCTGGTGGTCATACTACAGCAAGGAGTTTGGAAGAATATGCTTTTGAATAATTTTGGGGAATATTTATAATGTAAAATCTTCAATAAATATGGCATCATCTTAAATAACTTTACTATTATACAGTATATTTCTACCAAACTCACTATTTGCATTGTTGTTGTTTCTGTTTCTAAAACAATGAGAGGGAGAGCTCTGTCTTGTCAGACTGAGAGATAACTACAGCTCAGTGAGGTAAGGGACTCTGTTTAGATACTTTAGTCTAGTTATCTCAGTGGGTCTCATACGTTTTGGTCACCATTTATGAGAATAAATGAAAAACAGTTATGAAATACTATATGACAGTGAAACAAGAATACAGTTTAAAAGGTGAGTGATTTGTAAAATATCCATAAAGAAAAAGAAAATCTGTTTACCATAAATT